TATAGTACCTGTGCCTTTTTCTCTCAAAATTAATATTTTTAAACAACAATCTACAAAGAAAAACTAAACAAAAACAACCTCAAACCCTTGTCGAACAACAATTCGTATGAATACACATTACATTGTTTCATATATCTTTAACAAAGTGACTTTTATCATTCATTCTTTTATCATCAACAAAAATATACATTTGTGAGAGCCTTATACATAACCTGTAAAATATTATAATCAACCAACTCAGAATTTCAAATATTTCAATTGATAAAATAATGTATTTGATGGCATTGAGCATCCGATTCTGCGCATGCGCAGAAAAAGTTTTGTTTGCGACGCCAGATGGCGCCAACTCGCATCCTTCTGCGCATGTGCAACAGAGGATTTTGTCATTCGAGGTCACGACGCCAGGGGGCGCAAGCGGCTCTTTCAGGCTTTTTACCACGAATTACCCGCGCAGCTCGCGTAAGGAGGTAGGCCTCAATCTTGTTTTTAGTCGTGTTTTTCTTCACGTTCGGATTAAAACCCGTGAAAACAATGCATCTAGAGTGGCGTCTGCATAAGAAACCGATGTAACTCATACAAGCTGCCTTTTCCCTGCGTTAAAGCCCTTTGTTCTGCGTTGCTTATCGCCACATAAGCTAATTTGCTAGCTGCTAGGCTAAAAGGTTATCTGTTAGCGGTACTGTACGGACGATTTGAGRTGATGAAAAAATACTGAAATATTTAACTCTTTGTGCTTCTGTAGCACAAATTCACACTAGTGCAGGCTTGTTAAATGTACGGCTTGTGTTTAGTTTTGCTCTGTTTTTGTGGGACTTCGTGCAGCGCGGTTAGCCCAGCCGAGCCCTGTTTTGACAGAGAAACGGCGCGACGCTCGGATCGTTTTGAAAGTTTGGACGCGTTGACGTTGAGCTGCAACTTCTCCGTCCTTTGACTTTGTTTTTCTCCCTGTTTTTTTTTTTTTTTTGTTTTGTGACCAAAGAAACCCTCGGCGCTACCATGAGTCTAGACGTGAAGAAACTGAAAGTGAACGAGCTGAAGGAGGAGCTCCAGCGCCGGGGCCTGGACACCAGAGGCCTGAAGGCTGACCTGATGGAGAGGCTGAGAGCCGCTCTGSAGGAGGAAGAAGCCCAGGCGGACGCCTCGGAGGAGCAGGCTGGGGAGGGCGAGTACAGCCAGGACCACCAAGGAGAGGAGGAAGAGGATGTTCAGGAGCAACAAGAAGGTATTAAAGTCCCACATACTTTTCTCACATATAGGAACTTTGATAACATTTTCAAACTTATTTTAGCRCCCTTTCCCTTTTTTGTACTCATAAGGCTCCATGTACAGATTCCAAAACTATTTAGTTTTTTTAAATCAACCCCCCCATTTAGGATTTAGAGGTCTTTAAAGGCTGAAAATTAGGAAGCGAGTGCTCCATTGACTTCTATTAACATAAAAAATGTGYGGAGCTCCGTAGACATAGTGTGCGTCACAATTTTGCAACGATTTTTCAAACAAAAGCAGAAAACAAACTAGATAAAAGCTTAAGATATAGCGGGTAAAATAAGTGTTGAACACGTCACCATTTTTCTAAGTAAATATATATTACTAGATGTGCTAATGACATGAAATATTCACTAGATATCGGTAACAACACAAGTGATGCAGAAATGAAGTTATTTGTAATAATGTGGAATGACACAGGGGAAAAGTATTGAACACACTTACTGAAATTTATCTAATACTTTGTACAAAAGCCTTTGTTGTCRATGACAGCTTCAAGACGCCTCCTGTATGGAGAAACTAGTGGCATGCATTGCTCAGGTGTGATTTTGGCCCATTCTTCCACACAAACAGTCTTCAAATCTTGAAGGTTTCGTGGACCTCTTCTATGAACTCTGATCTTTAGTTCTTTCCATAGATTTTCTGTTGGATTCAGGTCAGGTGATTGGCTGGGCCATTCCAGCAGCTTTAGTTTCTTTCTCTGAAACCAACTGAGAGTTTCCTTGGCTTTGTGTTTGGGCTCATTGTCTTGCTGAAATGTCCAGCCACGTTTCATCTTCATCATCCTGGTAGATGGAAGCAGATTTTTATCAAGAATGTCTCTGTACATTTTTCCACTCATCCTTCCTTCAATTATTTGAAGTTTGCCAGTACCATATGCTGAAAAACAGCCCCACACCATGATGTTCCCACCTCCAAACTTCACTGTTGGTATGGTGTTTTTGGGCTGATGTGCAGTGCCATTTGTCCTCCAAACATGATGTGTATTCTGGCATCCAAACAGTTCAATGTTGGTCTCATCTGACCAGACTATATTCTCCCAGTATTACACAGGCTTGTTTAAATGTTGTGCAGCAAACTTTAAAGGAGCTTCAACATGCTGTTTCTTCAGCAGTGGAGTCTTGCGTGGTGAGCGTGCATACAGGCCATGGTGGTTCAGTGCATTACTTATTGTTTTCTTTGAAACAAACATACCTGCTAATTCCAGGTCTTTCTGAAGCTCTCCACAAGTGGTCCTTGGCTCTTGGACAACTCTTCTGATAATTCTTTTCACTCCTCTGTCAGAAATCTTGTGAGGAGCACCTGGTCGTGGTCGGTTTATGGTGAAATAATGTTCTTTCCACTTCTGAATTATGGCCCCAACAGTGCTCACTGGAACCTTCAGAAGTTTAGACATTCTTCTGTAACCGATGCCATCATTATGCTTTGCAACAATAAGGTTGTGAAGGTCTTGAGAGAGCTCTTTACTTTTACCCATCATCAGATGGTTCTTGTGTGATACCTGGCCATCATTTGGGACTGAACCAGCTGATATTAACTTGCACTGACAAGGGGCAGGCTTGTTTTCTAATTACTGAGAGAGTTCAGCTGGTGTCTTGGCTTTCCATGCCTTTTTACACCTCCCTTTCTTCATGTGTTCAATACTTTTTCCCTGTGCCATTCCACATTATTACAAATAACTTCATTTCTGGACATTTATGGTTTGATTTCTTTGTATGTATGGATCACTTGGGTTGTTACCAACATCTGGTGAAAATTTCATGTCATTAGCACCTCTAGTAATATATTTACTGAGAAAAATGTGATGTGTTCAATACTTATTTTACCTGCTGTAGATGTCAAAATGCTAAGTGGAGGCTAAGCATGAAAACAAGYGGAAAAAATCACAACAACCTGAGCCACCTGCAGGGATCAGGCAGCGCATTTATCAAAGTGCCTGGACTGGACGATCTGTCAGATTATCTGTACTATATCTGTATTATAGGGATGTAGATAAATTTTTTAATCCTACACCAATATTAAATCTGACAGCAGATTCCAAAAGAACATAAAAACCTACAAAATAACAGCAAAATCAATGTGATGATCTGAAGTATGAGGGAAGTTATTGATGTTTGTTTAGGTGAAATCAGCTCAGTTCACAGCAGAACCAATGTGATCATTTCACCGTATGTATTTGTTCATAACTTCCTCAGTGTTTAAGATGACCATGAAATTTTAGGAAAAGATTCACATTCTGTTTCTGTAGGAAGCATCTTGTGTCCTAAAAACTAATAAAACTTATTAACAACCAATGCAACAGTAGCAGAAAGGTATAAAATAATATAACAAGGCAAACTGYAGYATCAAATCARCWTAATGTGTCTTAGAAAGTAAGGAAATTAAAACAATTTAAAAACCATGTGGACATGTGTTTTGTAAACAAAGCTCCTCAACCAATGACAGCGTGTTAAATGTGTCAGGTGACAAAGACGAGCGTCAACACACTTTGCAAAAAGCGCTACTCAGGATTAAGAAAAAATAATTTGACGTTTCATATCAGTGTCAAATKTGGAACAAGGGCAKATAAAATAATGTTCTTCATGGCAGCTCATCTATTTAAGGKTCACTAGAAGAACTCATGATTTACGTTGATCCTCTTTTCAAAAAAGTGTCTCTTCGAAACGCATCGACAAAAATTAAAAACTGGAAGATGAGGCTGTAGCTAACTACCTGACGGCAGCACGGTTTGTTGAAATTCACAGAAATAACGAAGCAGGAGGAAATAACAGCAAACGCACCGAGCAGCCTTGAAAACTCTGGTCACAGCAGTTTGGGAAGAAAAAGCAGCTGCTGATGAAATGTCAACATCCATATAASATTAGACCCAACAAAATCAGGGAAATCTGTCTTTTAGGAGCTCGCATTGATTTCTAACATAGGCTCTAATCCTAAATGTGTCTAACAGAGAAGCAACTTMTTTTACGTTCTTGACAGAGCTTGAAATTGAATTTTTACACAAGTTCACAAGTTATTTCTTGTCTGATCATTTATTTGTGCACAATTTCCCAAGTTTGCAATAATAATGACWCTCACTAATATGCAGTTTCTTAAACGGTGTTTGACCACAATGCAGTCCCTCCAGACTTTTTGACTTGTTTTATGTTTAAAATGACATCACCCATCAAATATATTATTTCATCAGTTGAAATTATTAAAGTTTTATGAGTTGGTTGATTAAAATATTCTGCAGGTTGTGTATAAGGCTCGTAATGTAATACCTTTGAACGTTCAATCCTATATTGTTAAGAGGGAAAGTTGGAATAAGATTATGTAATAATCTGAAAAGTGATTATAAAAATGCTGGTTCAAATAATTTGCTTAAAGAAATGAACAAAGTTAAATTGTTAAAGACATATGAAATAGTTTAATTAGTATTTGTAAGAGTTACTGTTTGAGGATTTTAATTTTTAGTTTTGTTTTATTTGATTATTATTGTTGAAATTATAATTTTTTGAAAATAGAGGCAGATATTATAAGATTTTTCCCTTCTTCTGCTCCTTTCATTTTATTTTATTTGTATTGTTTTGTTGCATGTGAATGTGTTTGTTTTTATTAAAAACGAAATGAATAAATTAAAATAATAATAATTTAACGACACCTGTTTGGAAGTGTTATAGGGCTGTGTATTGGCAAGAATTTGGCGATACGATGCATATCATAACAGAGGGGTCACGATACGATATA